AAGTACAAGACTTTGTTGTGGGCTTTTTTTTTTTTTTTTTTTTTTTTTTTTTTTATGAGTAGCTTTCTTTAATTCTTTGATTCACTCCCAAGAGGCAAATATCATTATTCATATTTTATGGATGATGAAATTAAGGTTTAGAGAAGTTAAATTACTTGCTTACATTCTCAAATTGTGGGAAGCTGGAAAACTGGCAATGCTCTTAGCCTCTCACACTCCAAAGGAGACCGTGGTACCTCTTAGTATGTTTACTGTAGAGGAACCGTGATCTGGGACTTTGGTTTTGGATTTGGATTTTCAAGACAGGGTTTCTCTGTGTAGCTCTGGCTTTTCTGGAACTCATTGTATAGGTCAGGCTGGCCTTGGTCTCAGAAATCCTCCCAACTCTGCCAACTGAGTGCTAGGATCAAAGGCGTGCACCACCATGCCTGGCATGATCCGGGATGTTAAATGGCATTTCATATCACACGGATGGCCAGAGCTAAATATTTATTCAATCTCTTGGCATTTCGTGCCTCTCTATATACTATGTTTATTGTGTATATGGGGTATGATGCAGGCATGTTCACGTATGTGTGGGTACAGCCTGTAAAGGTCAGAGGAAACTCCAGGTGTCGTTTTCACAGACACTGTCTACATTCTCTGATGGAGTCTCTCCCTTTTCTGGAGATCAATGGCTAGGCTAGACTGGCTGCCCTAGGAATCCTTCTCTCTGTCTCCCCAGCTCTGGGATCCAACCATATACCACGACATCTGTCCTACTCAGGCATTCTGAGGACTTAACGTCTGAGGACTTAACGTGGCTTCATGCTTCTCAGCACTTCACTTACTGAGCTAGCTCCTCAGTCCGCCACAGTCATTTTATAATTAACATGGTCAAGGTGTAATTTTGGTCTAAGTTTTGGTTCATGATGTAACTTTGGTATATTACTTGTAGGACCAAGTAAAGAAATCAGACTGGATATCTCTGCTTTGAACACTGAGGAGAGAGAATGTTAGTTGTGTACCTGTGTGAGTGTAATAAAGATGGCCCAGACAGCAGACACAGGACCTGGGGAGGGAGAACTGGTCCAGGAATCAGTCATGTCTTCTGTGTCATACAGCCCATCCTGGGAGAAGGGACTGGGAAACATAGCACACTGGGGCTGGGGATGCAGCTGTGAGATTCAAGGGTGTGTTCTTAATGTACAAAGATTCTGGGTTTCATCTCCAGTTCCAAAATTAACAAAGAAAAAGTGCAAACAATATAACAAAACTGATGTTCTGGGGGGGGCTGCTTGTTGTTGATTTTTAGGATTTAATAATCTTTTAAAAATGTATTTATTTTACGTGTATAGGAGTTTTGCCTGTGTGGCTGTCTGTGTACCCATACAGACCAGGAGAGGCCTTTGGAGCCCCTGAAACTGGAGTTGCCCACAGTTGTGAGCCACTGTGTGAGTGCTGGAAATTGAACCTGAGTCCTCCAGAAGAGCAACCAGTGCTCTTAACTACCAAGCCATTTCCAAGTCAATTTATTTTCAGTTATGTGCATATGGGGGTAGTGTGCATATGAGTGCAGGTACCTTCAGGCTAGAAGACAGTGTCAGATACCCTGGAGCTGGAGTTATAGGTTAGTGGCTAAAACAATATATATCCTATTTTCTATGTCTGTGGAATGGCTGGGTAGTTCTTGCTGGCTTTCTCTGGAGGTTGCAGCCAGACACCCCCGCTGGACTTCCTGGTACTCCTATTATTTCTTTGGAAGCCCATACTAATAGACATAGCATCCAGTCTCTTGCTATTATAGACCAAGTTTTTAAAGCACCACACAGGAAATAAACCTGCAAACCAAACCCCTTTCCTTATGAGAAGTGATACATTCTGGCAGAAACTAGTTGTTGGCTGTGATCCTTAGCTAATTGTCTCTGTCTCTATTTTAAAAATTAATATTTGTTTTATGTGTATGAATGTTATGCTGCATGTGTATACATATATCATGTGTGTGCCTGATGCTCAAGGAGGTCAGAAGAAGGTATTAGATCTCCTGGAACTAGTGTTACATACAGTTGTGAGCTATCATGTGGGTGCTGGGACACTTCTGGAAGAGCAACAGGTGCTCTTAACATCTCTGAGACATCTCTCCATCCATCCATCCATCCATCCATTTTCGAGGCAGGGTTTCTCTATATAACAGCCCTCTTGTCCTGGAAACTCATTCTGTAAACCAGGCTGGCCTCAAACTCACAGAGATTTGCCTACCTCTACCTCCCAAGTGCTGGAATTAAAGGCATGCACCACCACTATGTAGCCTTGACTGGCCTGAAGCTCACTGTGAGATAAGGCCGGCCTCAAACTCACAAAGATCCGCCTACCTCTGCCTCCCAAGTGCTGGGATTAAAGGCTTGTGCCACCACTGCCCAGCTTCTCACACTTTTCTTATCTCTCCTCTCATCTCTGTTTGACCAAGGATCTTGGTTTCTCTACAGCCCTCTCCCTTGGTGTTCCACATCACAGCAACTATGCCACCTTTTTGGAAAAAGCTACTTCTGTGGCACTGCTTTGACCATAGGGCCCATCAGTCACATTAGTGCTAATTCAGACAAATTACGCTGGAAACCAGTGAGAAATGAATAGGAGAGGAAGCAGCCTAGGAAACCCTGTCCTGGTATCCTGTGCCCTCCCTGCATCCTTCTACTTGCTCCCAGCCACCCAGCACACTGTAACACCACCCTTGGGCGTGGAGGAATGGGAGGCAGTGGTGTTAGTGGACAGTGCTTGACTGTCTCAAGGCCTTGAATGGAGGAGTCCACATGAACTCTCCAGTACTGTAAATGTATGTAATATGCTCTCTGGAATGAAGTGCAGTGAAGTACAGGCAGCCCTCTATACCCATGGGTTCCACATCCCATGCATTCAACCTATTGGAAAAGAACAGTGTCTACGCTAAACATTTGCAGATCTTTTCCTTGTCTCTTGTCCTTATTCCTTAAATAGAGCAGCCTAACCCTAGTCACATAAGAGTCTGTCTACATTGGTACAAGGTTCTATAGACATCTGTTTAGATCATGTAGATGTACATGGGATGATAGCCATACTCGGTACAAAGCCACAGCATTTAGTATCCACAGAGTCCCCTGCTACCAATCTCTGTGTGCCAAAGGATGACTGAACTCTAAGGACTGGTGCCTAGCCTCATTTCTTTTTCCTTTTCCTGCTGTCCCTTCCACTAACTACCCCCATCTCTTTATTTATTTATACTCTCATTTGTTTGATTATTTATTTGAGGCAGGGTTTTTCTGTGTTGCCCTGGCTGTCCTAGAGTTCATTCTGTAGACCAGGTTGGCCCCGAACTCAAAGATCCACCTGCCTCTGCCTCCCAAGTGCTGGGATCAAAGGTGTGTGCCACCACCGCCCAGCTATTTATTTTTTGTAGTACTAGGAATAGATGCAGGTGAGTGCCCTGATGTTGAGCTGCACCACCAGTCCTTGGGGGCTTCTTATAGACAGTTTTGGCAGAGCAGGGTCTGACCTGGGGGGCACAAATATGATCTTTGAGCACATCAGATCTGGTGTTTCACATCATACGAACGGTCAATCCAATGTTTGTCCAGAGAGACAGCAATGTGACTGAGAGAATCCTGCACTGGGGATGGCGGACAGTCAGGAGGCTGGAATTCAGTTGTGATCTCACTGATAATAAATCTCTGTGATGATTTTATTTGTGCACAGTTTGGGTGTCTGGCCCTAGGGCATGGCCCAGCTTGGCAGTTTTCATCTGAATGGTGTTGTCTGGAGCCATTCAGTTAGGTGGTGATGATCCTGGGTTAGTTTGTAAGGCCCAATGAGGCTTTTTGCATAGCTAGCACCATGGAGCCTCTGCATGGTGTTCTGGCTCTCCACATGGCTAGTTTGGGCTTCCTCGGCTTCCAACATGGAGGCTGGCTTATGAGAGGGAGGCAGTGAAGCTTCCAGTGTCCTGTGTCCCAGAATTCACACATCATTTCTGCTCTCTGTTAGCCTTGAGCCCTGCCCTGGTTCAGGGGAAGAGATATCATCTCCATCCTTCCCCTGCTCTTTTTTTTTAAATTTTGAATTAATTACATTTATTTATTGTGTGAAGGAATGCCATGGTGCGTGACAACTTCTGGGAATTGGTTCTCTGCTTCCACCATGTTGGTCTCAGGTCAACAGTCTTTGGCAACAAGTGCCTTTACACACTGAGCCATCTCACCATTTCCTGGTGTCTGGACCAGGACTCAGAGGCACAGGAAGAAAGGGCTGGCTGTGTCTATCTTTGGGAGCCATTGAGCAGGACCCTTCCTTCTGTCCCTCCAGCCTCAGCATTTGCTTCTTTGGTAGTCAAGGTGGCTGATGGGACTCTAGCTAAAGTCTTAAGAGGATGACTTTTTCATCAATCAGAAGATCACATGCTCATGTCTTGTTAAAAGGGTGCTGTAACACACCTTTAGTCCCAGCACTTGGGGGGGGCGGGGCAGAGGCAGTCAGATCTCTGTGAGTTCGAGGCCAGCCTGGTCTACAGAGAGAATTTCAGGACAGGCAGGCCTTGAAAAACAAAAATGATGCTATAAGGAGCTGGGGAGATGGCTCAGTGGTTAAGAGCACTCACTGGCTATTCTTCCAGAGGATCCGTGTTCAATTCCCAGCAATTACATGGCAGCTCATAACTGTCTGTGACTCCAGTGATACCTTCACACCAATGCATATAAAAAGTTAAATAAATTATTTAAAATGTATATTTAAAAAAAGAGAGTTTGAAAAAAAAAAGGCTGCTGTGAGACAGTGCATAGACAGGAAGGAGTTAGAGGTCTGCTGGAGGGAGAAAGGGAAGGATGCTGTGCAGAAACATTTTCCAGTACCAGTGTCTGTGTCCTTTCCCAAAGCAGAGCCTGCTCGCACCTTTAAGGAACAGAAGCCATAGCCAGGCTCAACCTAAAGAGAACACATGTCTGGGGGTCCCCATGCCAGCCCCCTGTGATCTCACACCCTCTCTCTGCTCCCAGTTTACCACGGGCACGTGCGATGACTCTGTGATTCACAACTGTGACCTGTGTGGCAAGAGCTTCCGCCTGCAGCGCATGCTCAACCGTCACCTCAAGTGCCACAACCAGGTAAAGAGACACCTGTGCACCTTCTGTGGCAAAGGCTTCAATGACACCTTCGACCTAAAGAGGCACGTACGCACACATACAGGTGAGACTGTGCATGTGACTTGTTTCTGGTTCCTTTGTCCTCGTCGTCCCATCCCCCCACCCCCCACCCCACCCACCCCCCCCCAAAAAAAAAACCAAGTTTGGAGTATGGAGCAGGATGGTATTTCTAGAAAGGACACAGGATGAGGCATTTGGGGCTATCCTAACTGAGTTTACTCCCTGACTCTCCCACCTGACAGCCTGGGGCATACAGGCCACCTCTCATGGCCTGATTCTGCTCCTGTAGGGTGAGCATGGTGTCCCGGTTCCACCAGGGAGGCTAACACAGAAGGTCTCTACTGTAACACAGCCCCTTTAGTCTGACTGCAGAATGGGATGCTTACAACCAGTTTAAAGTATTTTATGCCTCTTCCTTCACTCTTGTTTTATCGTTGTCTTTGGTTTGGTTTTGATTTTTTTTTTAAGATAAGGCTTTAGGGCTGGAGAGCTGGCTAAGCTGTTAAAGGCTAGGCTCACAACCAAAAATACAAGGTAAGGTTTTGTTAGGTGGCCTGGCCTTGAACTGTCTGTCCATCCTCTTTGTGCTTCCCAAGTGCAGGGATTGCAGGCATGCGACACTGCGCCTGGCTAACCTCGTGAAGGAAACCTGACTCAGGGCTCCCAATCCTCCTGAGGCAGAACAGCTGCCCTGAGCTTCCTGCTGGAACAGACATCTTCCTTGAGGCCTCTTCCTTGGCTTCCCAACCTTTCTTCTTCTTCTTCTTCTTCTTCTTCTTCTTCTTCTTCTTCTTCTTCTTCTTCTTCTTCTTCTTCTTCCTCCTCCTTCTCCTCCTCCTCCTCCTCCTTCTCCTCCTCCTCGTCCTCCTCCTCCCTCCCCCCCATAAGGGATAGAACCTAAGGCCTTGCGCATGCTAAGCAAGCACTTCCCCGCTGATCCACACTGAGCCCATTTTTCAACTTAGGCAGTCTGAATTTGAGACCTCCTCTTGTGTGTTTCAGAGTGTCTGGGGAGGATGACCTTTTGCCTCAGTCGCAAACCTGCTGATTGGTCACAAGCTTCATTAGTTTTATCTTAGGCACATCTGGCCTCTAGGCTTCTCCACTTGAGGCCCAGTCTATGCTTTTGGCCCAGTAAGTCCTGGAGGAAAATTGTAAGGATGCCAGTTCTTTGCTCAAAATTCTGCAACTCCAGGTAGAGTAGATACAGGCGCCTCCATGTCACATGAGGCCTCTATGTGTGGGTCTTGTCATCATAGATACATTAATGCCATCCCATCCCATTTAAACATGAACCACCCCCAAAATACAGAATTTCTCTGTGTAGCCCTGGCTCTCCTGGAGCTCACTCTGTAGACCAGGTTGGCCTCAAACTCACAGAGATCTGCCTACCTATGCCTCCCTAGTACTGGGATTAAAGGCGAGCGCCACCACTTCTGGGCAAACATGATCCATCTTAAACTATTAAATGCTGTCCTGACCCACCATCCACCCTCCCAGCAGCCTTACGCTGTGTGCATAGCCCTATCCCTCAAATTCTCTCAGAGAGAAATTTCAGCTCCTCTGTCTCATCCAGGGACCTTCCTAGGTCCTCTATATTCCATTTTCTTTCATAACTCTTATTATGCTTTATTTTTCTAAGCGTGGTGGCATGAGCTGCTGCCTCCCTGGCCTGTCAAGAGTGCCCCCCCCCTTTATAAAGTGAGGTGGTCTACAAAAGATGCCTTTCTTTTAGGGGGTTTGTTTTTGCGTGTTAGGGTGGGGGTAAGATTTCTCTGTTTAGTTCTGGCTGTCCTAGAAGTCACTCTATAAATAAGACTGGCCTCAGAGAGCCACCTGCCTCTACCTCTGGAGTACTGGGATTATAGTCATCTGCCACCATGCCTGGCTATACCTTTCCTTTAAAAATATTATTTTTTTCTAAACTGAACTTTTCATTGAAATGACATAGCCAGGTGGTGGCGGCGGCAGCAGAGCATGCCTTTACTTCCAGCATTTGGAAGGCAGAGGACCTCTTAGTTTCAGGCCAGCCTGGTCTACAGAACAAGTTCCAGGGCAGCCAGGGCTACACAGAGAAACCCTGAGGGAAAAACAAAACAAACAAAAAAAAAAACAAACAAATTACATATCTAGAAAAATGGTTAAGTTACAAGTCCCTAGATCTAAATGCATGCAATTAAAACCAAGTTTAAAAAAACAAAAAACAAAAAACAAAAAACAGAATATTTCTAGAGGTCATTACCTTTTCCCAGTAAGTAACCTGCTTTCCTTCAAGGGAAGTCACTGTCATGACTTCTAAAATATATATATATAAAATTTTTTTTGGGGGGGGGACAGGGTTTCTCTGTATGACTTTGGAGCCTGTCCTGGAACTCAACCTGTAGACAAGGATGGCCTCAAATTCACAGAGATCCTCCTGCCTCTGCCTCCTGAGTGCTGGGATTAAAGGTGTGCATCACCAACACCTTGGGACTAGTAACAACTAGATGTTTAAGACACCAGATTTTGAAGACTTGATAAGCAAAACAATCTCAAATTTTAAAGTTTAAAAGGATTCATTGAAGATAATGTCTTTAGTCCCAGTACTCAGGGGGCAGAAGCAGGAGAATCTCAGTATGAGTTCTAAGACAACCTAAAATACATTGAGATCCTGTTTCAAAAAAAAAAAAAAAAAACAAAAAACAAAAAACAAAACTTACCTGTTTCTTTCTATTTATTTGTTTGTTTATTTGTTTTTGAGACAGTGTCTTCTATTGTCTAGGCTGGCCTTGAACTCTACATTCTCCTGCTTCTGCTTTAACCTCTTGGGTACTAGAGTTGTAGGTGCATGCCACTGTTCCTGGCTCCTTCTGGAAATTTCTAAATTTTGTTTGTTTGTTTTTTGAGACAGGGTTTCCCTGTTTAGTTTTAGAGCCTGTCCTGGAACTAGGTCTTATAGACCAGGCTGGCCTTGAACTCACAGAGATCCACCTGCCTCTGCCTCCCAAGTGCTGGGATTAAAGGTGTGAGCCACCACCGTCCAGCCCAAATATCTAAATTTTAAAGTGGTTCGCCCCTTAATTTCTATTGAACAGCACTATAATAACTGAAATTGATTTCTAGAATTTTAACCATAACTTTTGCTTTCAAAGTACAATGAGTAGCACTATGGAAAAGACTTGAACCCATTTCCATGACCGGACTTCCTTTCTGGTGGAGGTAACCTTCCACACTGGATTATAAAGAGCAGCTGGGGGCTTACCTTTGTCTTAGCTGGTGATAAATATGAGTTCTCACTGATCTGGGCAGGTAACCGTGGTGCTACGGGCTGGAGGAGGGGGCAGGGCCAATGATTGTCTCCTGGCCTTTACCATAGGCATGATTTCATTACAAAATTGAAAATTCTCAAATGTGTTACTGCATGTGACCCAGTCTCACTGGCTCCAAAAGATCATCCCAGAATTTAGTAGGAACTTGGTCTTTGCCTTTAGTTGAGCTTGATAAGTTCAGCAAAGACAGGGTTGGGCAATCAGCACTAACCTAGCCTCTTAGCCACCACCAGCTGCGTCTCTTCTCATCCTGGGAACTGCAGAGGGCATCCACGGAAAGACTCAAAATCCAAAGGAAACTTTCTGAAAAAGGTTCAGGGAACCCAGAACCTGAGAACGTCTTACACTAATATCCAGAAAGATGAAAGAAAAGATTAGGAATCCTTTTGGAGTATCACTTCACCAAGAAATAAGTAACCATTGGGTTCTCTATTCCTGACCCTGTCTGGGTCTTTCCGTGGCGTGTGTGTGTGTGTGTGTGTGTGTGTGTGTGTGTGTGTGTGTGTGTGTGTGTGTGTTTGTGTATCCAGGCTAAGGAGTTGAGGGTCCAGATGCTGGCTCATTGGAATAAGCCCAGTGATGCAGAAGAAACCTCCATAGCATTTTTCAAAAAATGTGTCAGTAGCTAGCTGTGGTGTCTATAGTCACTAGGGAAGACAGGAGGGTTGTGAGCTCCAGGCCAGTGTGGGCTACACAATGAATTATAGACAAGCAACAAATAATCCCAACCCACCTACTCCCGACACACACACACACAGACCCAAACAAATCAGAATTAACAACAATAAAAATCAGTAAACGAGTGGCAGTTTTCATGCCCCAGAAGCAGCTCCTTATTAAAATGAAGGAGGGCTCCTGGGAGGACTTGTCAAGCAGTGAAGGCAATTGGGGAAAGAAAACAGTATGCTAGCCTCAGCCCTATCCCAGAGGGCTCTGGGGTTTGAAGGATATACTTCAGTGCTGGCCTGTCCACAGGCCTGTGTCTGCCTTTTCTGTACCCATTTCAATCAGACAAAGCTGAAGACCCTTTCACTCCTGGGCATTGGGAAAGTCAGTTGCTAGTGCTCAATCCTTGGAGAAGGGAACACTCACGAGCTGTGAGCTACCAGCCCACATGGCCAAGAAGAGGGTCTGGGTGGGGGGGCCAACACTGTCTTCTGCATACTTGTGATTGCTTTCGTCCAGTGTCAGGGACAAGGTCATGGGGGCCAGATTCATCCACTTCAAAACAGACAGAAGATCCCTGAGCATTAAAGGAACACAACATGTATGTTCTGTTCACAGCCTGAGAAAAACACCACAGATCTGCTCTTATAGAATGTTTCTTTGAATGTTCTATGCTTAGGACAGCTAGGTTACTTCCTAAGAATGGTTGCCTGTTGGCAAAAAATGATTTGTTTGGGGGAGAGAGATCTGTGTATCTGAGTGGAAAATACTGAGCCAGTCTTGCACTGTGCTGGACTCCACACCAAGTGTCCACACCTGCACTACTCAATGTGGTTTGAGAACCGGCAGTACCTGGGAGTGGGTGGACATGCACAGTCACTCATTTTGATGCCCCAAGGTGCCAGTGTCACTGGTTAGACACATTACTTACTGAAAGTATTTTATTTTCCTATTTGGTAAAATGAATGTTTATGCTGCCAAAGACTTCAGTTGGCAGCAAAAGCTATAGCAAATGTCAGCTCCCAGAAATGGTTGACACGGCCACGCACATCAGTGGGGTTCTGCTCCGTTTTGGGGAGAGAGAGGGTTGGTTAGGTTAGGCCTGGGAAAATGATAACCCACTGTTTTTCAAGGTGTGGTGGCTCATGCCTGTAATCCCAGCACTCAGAGGTTGAGGCAGGAGGATTACTGAAATTTAGTGTCAGATTGAGTATTTGTTTTTCTTGCAGAGGACCTGGGTTCAGATCCCAGCACCCACATGGTAGCTTACCAGCATCTGTAACTCCAGCTCTCCCGGGTTCAATGCTTTCTGACTTGTGCAGGCACTATATTCACATGCTACATGTACATACATGTGGGCTCAGGCACATACAATAAAAATAAATACATTTTGTGGGCTTTTTTTTTTTTTTTTTTTTTTTTTTTTGTATGTTTGTTTCTGAGACAGGTTCTCACCCTGTAATTTTGGTATGTAGACCAGGCCGGCCTCAAGCTCCCAAGTGGAGGTAGGAAGGTCAAGGTGTTCATGGTTTTCCTCAGCCACACTCTGAGTTTGAGGCCAACGTGGACTACAGGGAAAATTTAAAAAGAACCTTGAGGCTCCAGATGAAGTAAGAGCCCCATGCCTTTCCTGTGAACTGAGTTCCATAGAGAGAACCTGAGGAATTCCAATTTGAGGTCAGGGCCAGGGAGGGGCTGCCCACAGGCCAGGGGGCCCTCTTGCTTTATCTTACATCAGGGGCTACACTGAGAGAGGCCAGAAGGCAAACAAACCTCAGCCTGACTAAAGCTGAGGAGACAATGGTGTCCTTTGTTTGGAGCCTAAGGAGAAGGATTGACTGGATTGGGAAAAATGCAGATCAGAAGTTTAAGGCAGGGCTGCTAGTGGAGGAATCAAGGAATCCATTCCCCAACAGCCCCAGCTCACACGTGGAATTGCCTCCTCGACAGTTTCATTTTTAGTTTAACTTACTTTTTTTTTTCCTTTTCAGCCAAAAAGATAATATATTTTTTATGGGGGCAATTGAAAATAAGTTTTTTTTAAAAAGCAAGCCTCCATACAGCCCTAGTTCCTTTCTGAAAGTGATTTGCCATTTGGTTTGTTTGTTTGCTTTTTATTTTTTTCTCCTAGAATCTTCTAAGGCATGCAGCTATTGTCATGGGAACTAGACTTTGGGCCTTTCTTGGTGTCCACATAGTGGATGTTCCTTACTCCTTTTCATCATTGTGTACTTCATACAAAATGATGACAAGATTTCCCTCACAGAGCCACAGTCCCTTTCTAGCTCCCCAGTAGAAGTATTTGCTTCCGTTTTCAGATTGTCCTGCCATGTCCCCTGCCTTCTGTCTTACTTAATTCTGACAATGCCACCATGAATTTTCTTGTATATCCTTTGCCCACCAGTGTGAGTCTATGTCTAAGGGAACTTCCCACAAGTAAACTTACTAGGCCAAGGGGCAGGAGACTTTTCTAGGTTTATGGGCATTGCCTGCTTGCCTTCCTGGGAGGCTGCCCTCAACATCTACTCCCACAAGGAGGCTGGTAGCAAAGCTTGTTGTTGGAGTTCACAGTTGGATCAAAGTCGGGAAAGGAGCACTTGACATGAGGAATTGTGACAGAAAGTTCCAGCAGTGAGGGATTTACCTGGATATATGGGATATAAATTCAGTTTAGGGTTAGGAATAAACAACTCAAAAGTCTTTGTTAACTCCCAAAAGGACTTTTTTTTTTTTTTTTTAAAAACTAGGTTAATAACGACCTAGGATAGAGAATTCAAAAGATCAGTCATCTAGGAACCACTGTAAGGACTCAGGCATTATGCTGGCTGCCCTGTCACCTGGCAGAATGCACTCAGGCAGTACCCTGGTCAGCCCAGGGTTCCATGACTACTAGTCTGCACGCAGGTGCAAAGGACCCCTTTAAAAGAAAGACCCCTGCCCACGCTCTCTTTCCTTCTCTTCTCCCTGCTTCCCCTGGGGCAGACAGGACTTCCTGTCCCCCTCTTCTCTTCTGTCCTCTCTCTATCTCTGTGTCTCTTTACCTCTTTTCTCTCCCCACCCCCTTACCCTTTCTTATAAAACTCCTCACTAAGCTCTGTCTGCCTGGCATGTTTGTCCTGTGTCCATCCGTCCCCATGTCCGGTTGTCGTTGCCCCGTCCCCAGTGCCCCCTTCCCCCTTCCCTTGGTCGCCCTCACCTGTCATGGAACCTGCCAAGGCTTTATCATAACAACCACTTTTTTTGTTGTCGTGAACTACATTAATACATAAAAGGTGTAATTGAAAGGCAAATGCTAAATACTTAGGAATATGGAAGCTGATTCCTGCTTGGCTGTTTCCGTTGTGTTGAGCTGGGTTCTAAACACTGAGGTCGAATCTCCCTGAATACCCAGTGTTCACCAGGTCCTGTGATATCTCAGTTAATCCTCAGCCCAGCCATCTCTGGGTGTGAGTACTATCTGCATTTTGTGGATGAGGAGAGTCGACCTGTGGAGGGGTTAACAGATTGACTGTGGGCTCCGTTAATGAGTGGCAGATGTGCAGTGCCAGGCGTTTCAATGGCCTTGGACTTTGGAACTCAGGTAGGTGTCAGTAGGTTAATTATGTCTGGCAGCAGGTGGTGCTTTCAGTTCCCAGCCTGTTCTTTTGACTAGGACAAGATTGGCTTTTGCTAGAGAGAGGCGAGATGGTGAGGTATGGCTGCTGGGGGAGGGGAGCGCAGTGCCCATCCCCCCTCTTCCACCTTCATTCCCCTGAAGGGATGGGAAACTGCTCCAGGAGCAAGGAGCTAATGCCCAAGCCTGGGAAGGAGCACTTTTTGACAAGACAGGAATGAGATCATGGAGGCAGAAGAGGAAGCAGGAACATTGGGCAGTAGTGTCATAACTAGAGCTATTATGGTCTGTCTCCTGTGTCTACATCACAAGGCAATCGGTCTCAAAACCGGGTCCAGCATCTACACTATACCCTCCTGGAGAGAACCTTCTAGTCACCCCCTTTCTTTACTGGTCAGGTGACACAGGACCCCAAAATCTCCTAACCCTGGCTTTTCAGCTTTGCTAGGTGCTCTGCCCATAGAAGATATGTGTAGACTGTTAAATATTACAGGACAAGTGATAGGTTCTGCACATGCTAAACCCACTGTGGTCTGGGTCACCCCTGGAGTAGGAAGCTCCATGTGTAGGACCAGAAGAGAAGCATTCATTTCTTACACACACACACACACACACATCATACACACACACACACACACACACACACACACACACATATAATAGCCATTAAAAAATTATGTCATCTGCAGGAAGATGGAACTGGGAATCCTCATGTAAAGTGAAATAAATGACTCAAAAAGACAGATATTGCTTGCTTTCTCTCTGAAGTAGAATCTAGGTTGTTTGAGCTGTGATAGCAGGCATGGCCCTCTGAATCTGATTTTAATTTTAGATTTGAATGTCCCCCTACTTCTGCCTGATGGGATCTCCCTATATAGACTGGCCCAGGAGGTCCCCACATTCTAACTGGGATTCCAGGCCACCACTTGCATACAGCATTTCACTTAAGAAACAACACAACACACTAAGTCATCTTTATGTGTGAGCACAAACATGTGGTGTCCTAGAGGTAGGCCAGTGACATCAGGTGTCCTCTATTCTTTCTGTCCTCCTCTTTCTTCTCTGTCTCGTGTGTGTGTGTGTGTGTGTGTGTGTGTGTGTGTGTGTGTGTGTGTGTGTGTTGTCCGCCTGTGCTTGCCATGTGTGAGTTTGGAGGTCAGAGGACAACTTATGGGAGCCAGTTCATTTCCTTCCTAACACCATGTGAGTTCAGTTATCCAAACTCAGATGGTCAGCCTTGGTGGCTACCTTAGCCATTGAGTCATCCATTGTGCCCCCTGCATCCCCCAGCCCCCTTCTCTCTCACTTGGCTTGGAACTTGCCAGTTAGGCTAGACTGGCTGGTCAGTAAGTGCCAGGGATCCACCTGTCACTGATTCCTAGAAACAGAGAACAGGGTTTCATGGTGTAGCCCAGACTGGCCTTGAACTCACTGACACGTTTTCCTCTGACTCTTGAGTGGTGGGATTAAAGGTGTGTGCCATTGTAAATGAATTACATTTGCTCTTAGCATGACTGCAAGCATAGTTCTAAGCAAACGAGAATGTTTCAAATTTCTTTCCCTCCCACTATGCTATTGTTATAGTCAGACTTCTAGAGGTCAGAGTTTTAATATTAATCAAATGGAGTTTCCTTTGGACCCGTCAGCCGCCACACCCATCCCTTGCTTTGTAAATAGATTCTAGGACCTCAGCAGCAGAGCTATTCCCTGATGCTTAGCACAGTGTGAGTGCTTGGCCTCGTCTCCTGTCATGTCCAGCACAATTCACCACTTGGCTTCTCCCCTTCCGTCTCTTTCTCCTTCATTGCCTAACCCGTGTATCCTGGGGTGACCTCTCCAATAAACTTGCTCCAGGATCTTTGTCTCAGTGTTTGTTTCCAGGAAAACCCACGGTAAATGGGTAAAATGAAAACATCACTGACCTTGCCACTAAAAGATGAAACCATTAAGGCAGACCAGTGGGAAGAATATAAATCTTTCTCCCAGAGTCAAGTGTTGGGTTTCTGCCTCGTTGGTGCCCAACTATGTCAGGCTTATTCATGTAAATGTTAGGATCTTCTAGATGGTTCTGGCTCCCCTTTCCTCACACTGTCAAAGGTCTTGGTTGTGGGAAACTTCAGTGGCTTCATAGGAGGGATGCTTGGGCTTGGCTGTGACCAGCTGGTGACGTGTCTGCCCCTCATCCTTGCAGGCATTCGCCCCTACAAATGTGATGTGTGTTACAAAGCCTTCACCCAGCGATGTTCCTTGGAGTCCCACCTGAAGAAGATCCACGGTGTGCAGCAGCAGTACGCCTATAAGCAGCGTCGGGACAAACTCTATGTATGTGAGGATTGCGGCTACACGGGCCCCACCCAGGAGGACCTGTATCTGCACGTGAACAGTGCCCATCCCGGTAGCACATTTCTCAAAAAGACATCCAAGAAGTTGGCGGCCCTTCTGCAGAGCAAGCTGACGTCCCCGCTGCAGGAGAATTCCACCCTGAGTGAAGAGGAGGAGAAAAAGTGAAGAGCGGGAGAAAGAGGAGGAGAGATGCCCAGTGTTTACTCGGACTTTTGGTTCTGAGGCGTACCTCTCCTCTGCTCCTCTGCTGGCTCTCTTTAGTGACAAGTGTCCAGCCCACCTCTCTTTTCTTTTGGGACATCAATAGTAAGATGCACCTCTAAAACTGTCAATTGTTTTGCCACAACAGGCCCTGTACTGTGTGTGTGTTTTGTTGGTGGCTGAGATCAGGTACGGGTTTGTGTGTGTGTGTGTGTGTGTGTGTGTGTGTGTGTGTGTACGTTAAGTGTATTTTTTTTTTCTTAATGGAATTTTCGAACGTGAATAGAGGGATGCTCTTAAAGAGACCATCATCTTATGGTGCCTTGAAATGCTACTCAAGCAAGGAAAATGTATATTCTTCTGAAAGAGTTTACAGAAACTATTTTAATAAATGAAATGTTCATGTGAAACTTCTCTTTAAAAAACAAAATAGTGTTGAGTTTCAGCTATCCTGTTGAGGGTCTACCTGACACTGGACTCAGTTACCTGGTTCTGTCTTAGTGGAGAGGATTTAGAGGCAAACCCTGCCAGTGGGATGAAACCAGCACCAAGAGGCTGGTTCGTGGACAGATGGGCCTGGAGGCACAACGTTTGGGAGCTCATCATTCTCTTGGGTTCCTTCGGTCTTTGGCTTTATGAGCTAGGACTTGTTGGATGAAGGGCCCTGATTCCTCCCTGGAGGCTGGCCCTAGGTGAAGCATGTGACAAACCCTGGAGCATGAGAAACTAGCCCAGGCATGAAGTACACCTGTTGAGGCATACCTACTGGGAGGCTGGGCAGCAGACAGGGTTCCTTCAGGGAGCCAGACAGGGAATGCAGAAACCTTGAGCAACACCTCCCTCCCTCCTTGCCTTGGAGTTCCATTCCTAGATGTGGGAGAGGTTAACAGTCAAGTCTACCTTTGGACGCATCAGAGGGAAAAGGGAAGCTGCAAGCTGAGTGGGTAAGGAGGTGGTTTCCATGGCTACTGTGCAGCAGGAAGGACCCAGACCCTCCCTTGGGAAGTCCCTCAGCCAAGAAAGTCTTGACAGCCTATGTGGCAGCCAACTTCCCCAGGATTGACTGGGAAGCGACTACCAGCCCATATTGTCCTTGCCTTTCACTCCCTAGTCCTGTCTCTAGGCCTTGGCTGGGCTCCTTGGTCTAGGGGAAATTTTGAATAACATGGCCATTTTCTTATTTCCTCTCTTTGTACCTCCATCCTTCCCCTTTTTGCTCTCTCTCTTCCCTCCATCACACCTTCTGCTTTCTTCTCTCCCATACTCAGAGCCAGGCTTTATGTCAAGAGCTGAACACGTGAGATACATTACCGTTTCTCTCTCAACCACAGCTTTGCTTCTGGAAGAGAGATCTGGGGAGCACTAGTGACGTGCCAGTCACTAACCTGAGTGCCCCTCACTGTCATCTGGAACATCTGTAAGGCACCCCAGGGGTCAGCAACCCCGTTTCTGGGAGTCAGTGCAGAGACCTTCAGGTCCTCGGATCTGGTCCAAACGCCTCTTTTCCTCATTCTTCCTTCAGAGTGGAGAAAAGGTTTCAGGTTCAACTGGAACCATGCAGAGAAAGGCACAGAAATCAGAGTGGCTTGAAGACTTCTGTTCCACCACATAGTAGTATAGAGGACAGTTCCCCTTCTTACCGGAGATGGTGGTGAGTTTGGTTCTGGGACCCGCCCTGAAACATCCCTGTGCTCTGGCTCATGCGTTGCTCTCTCGCCTAGGTCCGAGGCACATGCTTCCACTGCCCCTGAATCAGGTGTAGTGAGCGGATTAGCCACAGTTTGAAGAAAGTAGCTCCCCAGCAGAAAACCAGGGTGATGGGACTCAAAGGAAAAACGGATGCTGGGCAGGTGGAATGACTAGGATCAGGCAGCTCGGGGCTGGAGAGATGACTCAGAAGTTAAGCACATTATCTGTTCCTGCTGAGGCCTAGAGTTTGGTCCCTGGCACCCACAAAGCTAGCCTCCACCAGTACCTACTCTACTGTGTGAGCATACACAATGCAATTTAAGAATAATCAAATTCTTTAGGAAAAAATCAGACAACTCTGCTACAAAGATGCCCAGTTAATTGTGTGGCGTATCAGGGACCCTGATTTCTTGCCTTGTGTCACTCTGCCATGTCCTAGGATGTTGCTAATACATGCTAGCTGAAGCCAATAGAACAGTGGTTGGATTTGGTTTTACAAGAAACTAATTCTAAGGTAAGTGCTGAGATTACAGGGGATCGGGAGGTAATTTCAGGAAGCATCTGTAGGGACTGGGCAAGAGTGATAGGAAGGAAAGATGGTTGGTAAAGGACACGGAAGCTAGAAAGGTATTGCTGGGGCAACTGGAGAGCTAGGAGGAAGGATGCATGTCTGGCTGCCCTCTAGAGGGGTAGGTAGAGGAAACCCGATGAACTCCGCATCCATCATTGATTGAGGTCTTCTGCCAGTGTTGTTTCTGGGCCTTTCCAACTTGTCCATGATTGCACTGGCTAAGTATACTTGCTGTGCTTGGAGCCCCCCCTTCCTCCCAACAGGAGGGTTGCAGTCATCAGTCAGAAACAGTCTTCAGGCCATAAACCCAGAAGCTGATGAACTATAGGCGAGAGCTATCCGTGTCTGTACACGTCTGGAAAAGGTCCCTCTCACTGTGTGAAGGTACTTGCCGTATGTGACTTTTATACTTCCTTGTGGGGGATCCTTGGGGAGGACATAGTCACATCAGCTGGGGGGGGGGTGTATAACTTCCTCAACAAAGCTCAAATGTGACAAATTGGAGGGAATGGATTATGATAGGCAACTTGTAGTCTTTACATGACAAACAAAATCATCTCTCTCTTGATATTTATTTATTTGTTTGTTTGTTTGTTTATGTATTTTGGCCTGACAACATGGTAGAGTATACGTTTAGTTCCAGCCCTCCAGCACTTGGAGAGTAGAGGCAGGCAGATCTCTGTGAGCTCTTGACCAGCCTGATCTCTGTAACAAGGTCTAGGACAGTCAAGATGACATAGAGATCCTGTCTCAAAAAAGGAGGAGTGCACTGGAGAGCTGGCTCAATGGTTATGAGCTGCTCTTCCAGAGGACCTGGATTCAGCACCCACATGGCAGCTCACAATTGTCTGTAACTCCAGTTCCAGAGGACCCAATACCCTCACACAGACACACAAGCAGGCAAAACACCAAAGCACATGAAATAAAAATTATTTAAAAAAAAAATCAGAGTTGAGGTGTTTTTGAAGGTATAGTTGTCTAGGCCAGAGGTGACCCTGAGGATTGCTCAAGTGTCTTGTTTTTAAAGGTAAGTTCTTTCATTGGCTCTTGGAGCTTTCCAGTTAGGCCAGGCTAGACAGTAAGCTCTGGTTATCATCCAACTGTCTCTATTTCTCTATTTCCCCAATGTGGCAGCTGGGGGGTTGAACTTGGGTCCTTAGGCTTGTTCCACAGACATATAACTGACTGGGCTATCTCCCCAACTCCCTGTCTTAGGTACTTCTCTATTGTCTTGTCTTAATAAGACACCATGGCCAAGACAATGTTTAGAATAAAGTGTTTATGGAGTCCATGACCATCATGGTGGGAAACGTGGCAGCAGACGGACAGGCAAACATGATGCTGGTTCGGTAGCTATGAATTTACATCCTTGAAAGAGAGAGAGAGAGAGAACATTTGAAAAGTGTCATGGGCTTTTGAACCCCCAAAGCCCACCCCCGTGACACTTCTGACAAGGCTAGACCTGCTAATCCTTGCCAAACTTCTACCAATGAGGGTCCAAGCAAGCATTTAACTAAGTCAGTGGTGGCCATTCTCACTGAAACCATAAAATCTTATGTGTATGGTGCTCTGCCTGAATGTTTGTCCTTGCACTGCTTGCATCCTTGTGCCATTAGAGGCCAGGAGAGAGCATTGAAGCCCCTGGAACGGGAGTTACAGTTGTGAGCTGCCATGTGGGGGCTGAGATGGAACCCGGGTCCTGTGCAAGAACGACAACTACTCTTAATCACTGAGTCATCTATCTCTCTGGCCCCTCAACTTCACTTTTAGTAATTCATTTTTATTTGATGTGTATAAATGTTATTCCAGTCCTCTGCGAGAGGAACATATTCTCTCAACCACCGAGCACCTTTGAGGCAGGGTCTCGTAGACCAGGGTGACAACTGGGATTACAGGCACCCATCATATTCAGCTTGGATGTCCACTCTTGACTTTCTGACCCCAACTTCATCCCAATCCTGCTAGCTAGGCCTGGCCTACTCAGCCATGTGTCAGGCAGTTCAGCCAATGTATTCAGGCTTGATTTGAGGACTAGTCCTGGTGGTGATGGCTCTGAAGCCTTGTGTCTGTCGGTGGTGGGGATTGAACCTGTGAGCTCTGACATGCTCTATTGAGGAGTGCCAGTTTTGGGTTACTGTTCTGTCAACACACAGAAGGAGTGCTGGCTGATGTTGATTTTAGGCGGCTGTCCTCCTGGGTGTTCATTCTGGAGAAAGGAATCTACCATTGAGTCCAGCAGTATGACTCATTTTAGATGTCATAGACTGGCTCCTAGAAGTAATAGGACGGAACAGGGCTTCTGGGACGACAGGTGACTTATTGAAGGAGGCTGTGGGAGAAACCAATAAGGAAGTGAGAGTAACAAGGTCTAAAGAGGCAGAGACAAGATGAAGATCTGGATTCCTCAGAAATGCAGCTCAGTCTGGTATAGGGGTCCCTGGAGTGTGAATGGCACTAGAACGTGCCACCTGCAGCAACAGGGCCAGTTGTCACATGTGACTGGCACAGAGGGTGTGACCTCTGGGCATTTCCAGTAATAGCAGTGAGATCATGTAATCGATGTGGTTCATTCAGAGGTCTCCAAGGTAGGGCAATGGGACCAGATTGATGGGTTCTCAGAGGTAAGAAAACAACAAGAACAAAAAAGCTGAAGTCCACAGAATGCACGCACTCTCATAAAGGACCTACTTTTTAGAATTAAAGGAGT